AAATAAAATAAACTATTAATAAACTAAAATTTTTCATCACAGGCGTTAGTCCCCAGGAGATAAAAAAGTTATTCCACAGCGATCACATAGATATCATTGATATTTTCACGACGCAGCCGTGAAAATCAATGATATCCATTGATCCCCGTGGAATAACTAATACTAATATGATCTCTGAGCCTACATAAGATCTGGAGAATTGTTGTTAGAAAGAATCCTCCAATGCCTGTTTTATATTACTTAGATAAATCAGGACCTCAATGCCCTTTCGTGAGAGAACAATTGATGCATATTAAGGAAGAGCCCATGTTACCTCCTAGGTGGATATTAGGAAATAACTGAATGCGAACAAGGCGTTCCTTATAAAAGTTTCTAAGTCTACTACGCAGTAGGGGATTGTAATAAGGATTACTCCTTCCCGATAGTATAACACCTTCTTTTTCCAATCACATTAGATTTATGCGTCTAGATTCATCTGCCTTTGTGGATAAAAAAAAGGGATGATTTAGTAATGTTGGTTGCCACTATATTCGAAGGCCAAGCCTAACTCTTCATTATATCTATCTAAATATAATCCCTCCAAGAATTTAGGTTTCCGGAGAAGAAATTTTTTATTTATTAAATCTTCAAATATATACCGGCATATTCTTTCCAGTACATTAGGGTAAATGTTACACCATCTATAATTCTGTTTCATAATTTTATATGGTGCTTCCCATTGATAATCCTTTTTACATGACCATAAATATGTATTAAGATTAACTTTGTCTAAGCATCTTCCTTCATGTCTCTGTGCATATGCTAAAGCTTTAGTATCTATTTCATCTTGCATTTTATAGGCGTAATAAAATATCACATACAGAAATTTGCAGTAATGATCACCAGCTTCAGACCAATTTGATCAGAAGAATCAATCTGAATATATGCAAATCCAGGAAAGTAAAATTAAACTTGATCACTACTATTGCATAAGTAAAAAATAAGTATTATCAGTATTCTTAGCGGAAAGTGGCAATTTCGGCTAAGGTACTTGACAATACAGCTCAACAATTATGTCTATATATTCACTCTTTTTATGTATTATTGATATTATCAAGTAGATCGATATCTTTTAACAATTTTTTCGTCTGTTTATAAAGATTTTGCCATTGTACATGAAATTTATTTTGTAAAACAGAAGACTTAATAAGACAGAAAAGAATTCTTGTAAGATTATTTGTATGGGATTTGATTACTGCATGAACATTTGCAATTTCTTCTTCTGCTGTAATCCAATCATAATATGGAGTATAAAGAACTGTATGAATACAGGTTATTTCTTATTTACTTCAGTCTAACTGATATTTTATAAAATCAAGATCTTTATGAGATTATTAAAAATTAATTCAAGCAGTTCAGAATAAACAAATGGACAAGGCTCAGCATTTTTTTGTGCAAGAAGCATGGTAAAAGTAAACTTTTAAGTATAGATAAATAGAAAGTTTCCAGTATATGTACACTAACAAAATCTCAAGTTTAAAATAAAAAATATACTATGTATGACTCAGAAATGAAATAAAAAAATGTATAAAGCTGGTGTCTCCAATCTAATTACTAGTAAGAGTATGCCTAAATTATACTTGAGTGGGCTACCAATCTGGCACTTTATATCCTATTCTAAAGTAGAAATATGCAGAAACAAGGTCTAGAAGCTAAAAACAAGCGAAAAAATGGTGAACCACTCAAGCAGAATTATATATAGGAAAGAAAAAAGAAGTTATACTTGAGTGGGTCACCAGGTGATAGGCAGAAAAAAGGTTGGTAAGGCAAAAAGTTTCAGGAGAATACACAAAAAAAGGTATGAAAGCAAATATAGTCTAAACTAATTCAGCACTTTGTATCTCATCCTCAGCAATCAAAATGATCATGGACAGGATTGCAAGAATGGCACAACATCAGCACTTCGTGCCTCACTGGCAATCAAAAAAGTGAGTAAATGGATTGTAACACATCTTTAGCAAATAGATGAATTGCAAATTCAGCACTTCGTGTCTCATCTAGCAATCAAATGGGCTAGTCATAATAATATTTATTACACCTTTGATTCTCTAACCAACTGACCACTAAACCAAGCTCTCAAAAGTTACTCAAAAGTTACTTGAAAGTGACAGGAAAGTGCCTAGAACTGGCAAGGAACTGAATACGTAATTAGCGCAGTAAATTTCGTTAATTTCGATAAGCACTAATCCATATTTTTTTCCAAAACTTTGAGATGCAATAACTCGACATATAGACATCCAATTCATGCGATCTTAACATCATTATAAAGCTCTCAATTTCCTCTTTCAAATAACTATAAAATCGTACGAATCCAATCACAGAAAGCCAAGATATTCCGCCCTAAAGATCAGGTCAAAAATATAGCATAATGTCGGCTAAAATCTGATTAGTAAATTAACTGCGCCACCCGACCACAACACGATTTTTAGCAAACAATACCAGCCTAGCATCATAATCACAAAAAGATCACGGAGTAATGAAAACAAGCAGATAGCTAGAAGAAAATAAAAAGAAGATAGATCAATAAAATTAAGCAAATATCTACAAAGCAATAAAAAGGCTACAGAGCAATAAAAATAAATAAATATCAATAAAGCAATAAAATGATTACAGAACAGTAAAAACAGTAACTAGGTAATAATTTACTCATAACTAGGTAACAATTTACTCATAACTAAGTAACATTATAACTGAACTGAATAACACTCTTATAAGAGTGTTATCCAGTATAGTTATATAACAATAATTTGTAATCTAAAAATTTAACAAAATAATAAAATAAAAGGAGTTTGAATTAATGATATAAATTCAAAATATTTTTATAAGCGTAAAATGTAAAAATGTGTAAAAATCTTTTGTAGTTATACACATATTATATGTAAAAATAAATAAGAATAGGTGTAATTATAATTCAATATGCATTATACTTATTATGTAATCCTAATTTATATTATTTATTTGAATATATTTAGCTAAAAAACTTTTAATTTCTATTCAAAAATGTTTATATTATTACACAAAAGAAGACATTGATAATAATAATCCAAAAGATAATAATGATTACAAAAAATTATTTATATTTTATATATCTTCTATATCATTTATACTATTTATATTTTCTATTCAATATATTATTTCTATTTATTTTATCTTATTTATATCATTATTTATTATATTACATTTATCTCATTTATTATATTTATTTTTTTTATTATATTGATAACTTTAAGTATTTCATTTTATATAAATACAAAATATTTTTTTTTTATCTTAGCAATGTGTCTTATGTCTTAGAAATAGTTTTATTAAATAGTTTTCTTTAATTTTTTTTTAACATATTTGTACAGTATAGAGCACTAAATAAAGTAGTTTTCAATATTATTATTATTAAATAAATCATTTATCGATTGATACTTTTCTAAATTAAATATAAAAACTAATCTTTTACTTACTATTTAAAATTATTATATTACTTATTATTAATGATGTATATTTTATACTTCTAATAGTATAAAATTTGATTGGAAGTTTTCAATTCAAATAAATTTATTAGAGATTATACTTTCAATCCTTCTAAAAGTACTTTTAAGAATACTTTTAATCTTCTAAGTATATATCATTGCTTATTACTTATAAGCATCTTAAAGAACTGATAAGAATTCAAAATTTAGTTTAACTAAATATAATAATTTTCAAAATTTTATTAATTTTAAATATAAAATTATTATATTTTTGTTATTATTATTTATTATGATTTTACTAATACTAATATATATTTTTAGTCTTTAATTAATTTCAAGCTGACTATTTTGATTATAAGATTTATTTATTATTCTTTATTTTACTAATTTTTTATATAAGTTTACTAAATATCTTGTAATCAAAATTTTAATTATTTTAATTTTAAGCATTTTATCTATAAAATTTCACCTTCTTTTAATAATTTTTTTAATTGCATCACTATTTTTTTTTGCAAATATTTAATCTATTTTATTTATATTTTTTATCAAAAAAAATTCTTTCAAATAAAACTTTACTTTTATTGTTATATACTTTTTACTATCTTTTTTAACCATATTTATAGTTGCTTCTAAATGCATACATACCTATTTTTTAACAAAAATTTCTTATTTATATCTATAATAATAAAATATTATATCATTAATAATTTTAAATTAAATAATATTTTATAATTAAAAATACAAATACTTCTAAAATAGATTTAACTATTATTTTTTATTTTAATTATATTTTTATTCTATTACCTATAAATTTTCACAAAATTATTTTTATTTTTTTTTGAAATAGAGAATTTACTAAATATAATAAACCTTTATTTTAAATTATATAAAAATTTATACTAAATTTGGTTTAGTATGAGTAAAATATCAAAAGTTAGTTTATATAAAAACTTTTTAATTAAAATTTGAAACATCAATTGAAAAATTATGTAATCATATACCTATATATAATAAGATTTGAATCTAAATATATTTAGCAAATAAATCTTCAATTAACCATTTAAAATAAATAATTTTGTAATACTTGATATAATTTTTATAGATATAGTCAACTCTTGATATAATGAACTCTTGATATAATGAATTTTTTGAATAAATATAATAAAAATACTTTTATTATAGCGAATTGGCTAATCAAATCTCTTAAAATCTTCACTATAGCCTTATAGCAAAGTTGAGGTCTAGGATATGAGTTTGTTATAATAAGAGTTGACTGTATATGATTACGCTATGATTTCAAATAAGCAACAAAAATTTTTCTTAAATATTAATTACTTCTTCAATTTTTTCATTTTTATTTAAATTATAGCTAATTTATATATATCACTTAATAGTATAAATTATTTAAAAAAAATAAGTAATTATATTAGTTAGTTCTAATTTCAAATAATAATAAAATATTAGTTTATAAATCAAATTCAGATTTACTTATGTATAATATAAGTTAACACTAATTTTAGCTTTAACAAGTTTAAGAAAATATTATTTATAAATATTAATATTATATTATTAATTTCAATTTAAAATAATAGTTATCAATTCTGAGTTGTAATAATAACTACTATTTTTAAAGAAAATTTTGATTCACTTTAGTTTTGGATTTAGTATTTTAAAAACTATATTAAAAGATAATATTATAAACTAGGTATCTTATTTAATATCTATAAACTAGTGATTAAAAATCTACACATCAAATTGTGAAGTATTATATTTTATAAAAATTATAATTATATAAAGTATCTATTTACGTTTACTAAAAAATTTCTTTAATTTTATATATATATTTAAGTAAAATTTTTATTTTATAATCATATACTAAAATTATATTATTATTATTAAGTTCTAAAAGTTTTGCTTTAAATTAATTGTTTAAATAAACTTTTCCTATCTAATAAATCAAAAAATAATTAAGCTTATTTTGTGATTCTTTAATTGTAAATTGAAAAATTTTGAAAGTATAATATTTAATTATTTAATTAGTATAAATAATTGATTATATAATAAGTATAATTAGTCATATATTCTTAAGTATACTTTTCAAATATATATAATAAATAGTAATTAATCATATTACATATAATATTATACTATTTTCATTTACAATAAACTTATTTTTAAAATTTCTTTTTATATTATATCATAATTTTTCAAGATTATTTACTAATATATTTTTTAATTATAATATAAAATTAAGATTTATAATTAAAATATTATAATTTATTTATTTTACAAATTTATAACAATATTTTTCAAAAATTTATTATATTTTTAA